TAGTTTTGCGTTAATCTGATGTCATGCTGAGCTAGAGTATATGGCCTTGCCCTAGGACATCGCAATGTTAATTGGACCACATTTTATATACATATGCATTTCGGTTAATTTTGGAGTACTACTTCGCCCTTAGGGAGTGTTCTTTACATGCGCGTATGGACTCGTCGCGATTTTTGCAAGGGTGTTACATGCCTTCCTTACATTTTCCTCGACATTGTGCTTCCAGAGCAATGTAATAGTACCATACAAAACTACTCTCAGCTACCTTTTGTGGTTTTTTAAGGTGAATTAGATGTTACTTTCCATATATGTAGCTTCAATTGTTTCTCGCAACGGCACCTCGATTTGAACATAAATAGTGGAGCTTAAGATTTGTTAAACTTAAAAAAATTTTTTGGACTTTTGCATTCGAAAACTTCCAGCATTTAACTTCTTTCTTATACACACACAAGTGTAGCATTATTGAAGTCGTTTCATTCTATCCTTTTAGATTGTTGGCATCTTATCTGTGGTGGCCAGCGTTTATGAATTGGAAAAGTTTGCAGAAGGCTCGGCAGAGCATATGGAAAAGATTGTGCAATTGGCATCGGCTGGCCTACTGATACTCTCCGCATTCGTGGGTTGCTTGGGTGCCGTAAATGGTTCTGTTAGAATACTCTGCTGTGTAAGCACTGAAGAAAATGTATTTTTTATTGCACTAAATATTAATATTTTTTTAACTTACGCCTCACTAAATAGTTCGTCACCATGCTGATAGCAATGATAGCATCGCATATATGGAAATTGTGGCGCTACAGTGAACCCAAACAAATGACGGCCGCAGAGAAAACCTTAACAGCAGCCTGGCTGACAGAGCTTGTGACACCAGGCGCTATGAATGAAATACAAGAATCGGTAAGAGCACTTCAAAGATACGCTAAATTTTATTGAAATACTATTTATAGGTATGTATGTGGATCGTACACGTAGACACTAAATGCGCTTCTATACTTTTAGTATGAATGCTGTGGAGTTCAAAGCAGTTTGGATTATTTAAAACTAAATGTAAAAATTCCACTCACCTGCTATCGCTCTGAGAATGGTTTGCGCAGCATTTTTGCCTATAATGAAGGTTGTTTAGTGGCACTAAAGCGCGCCTATTTGACTGTGTATCGCTATGAGCGGTTGGCGCATGCGCTACTTGTGTGCTTTGAGGTGAGTAGTCCTTTTTCTTATAAATTTACATATCGCACACCTAGATCTAAGTGCGATCAACTAAAAAAAAAAATAAAAAGTTTGGGCGGTTTTTTTTGCATAAATCGATTCATAGCACTTACATCCAATTAATGAAAATATTTTTTTTTATGATTATATAATTAACTAAAAAACTAGAGTTATGCCTGTTTTTGTATTAATTACGTTGAATCTGTACGATCCACAAGCAGTTAAATATCCCTCTTGGAATTTTTAGTTAGCTCACTTTAACTAGATCAGTGATGCGCAGAGAGGGCTTTCACTCTATACGCGTCTATACCAAATGTATGGAAAGCTTAAAAGAGCTTTGCCCGCAGGCAAGGCGATGCCCATCAGTGCTTTAGATCAGTGATGGACAGAGAGAGCTTTTACTCTGCACACGCTTATACAAAATCTATAGAAAGCTTAAAAGAGCTTTGCCTGCGCACAAGGCGGTGCCCGTCAACGCTTTAGATCTAGGTGTGCGATATGTTCAATTATATGTACATATGTAGTAAATTTTAATTGATATTCACATTTATTTTTCAGGGCATAGGCATATTGTTAGCAATGCTGTTGATCTGCAAATTACTGACCAAATCGCGTAGATATAGTTATTAGTATTGCTAAGTTTGCATTTAAGATATTTAAATATATATTTTTTGTTAGGTAAGGGTAAATAAAAAAAATATTTTTTACTATTTATCGATTCTTGCACAGCATTAGGGTTGAGCTGAAATAGAATAAACACTAGCACCAGAATTTATAAAAAGTAAATAAGACTTTAGCTGCTTTATAAATCAAGAGTTGGCATGAAAATGTCGCTTTAAACCTATTTTATTTTTATGAATAAGTCCGTTAGTCTTTAATTGTAATTGAATTTTGTTTGCGCTTAGTAGGAGAAGATGTTCAGATACTTACTTAGGGCCGGTTGTTCAATGTCTGGTTATCACTACCAATACACTATCGACGATTTCAAAATCATGCATGTAACATGTGATCGATAAAGCAGTCGTCTTTCTTAACCAGAGCTTCTACCTCCGATTTGTGCTAATCAGATATTGAACAACTGGCCCTTAAGCGTATTGCAGATCAAAGGAGCTTTGTCCATATGAACTCAAAGGGGGACGATTATATATTTAACCCCTGCCATGGCGTAGGACTCGTTAATTAAGTGGTTGGGGTGTTCAAAATCTATTTCTTTTCTTTTTAAAATTTTGCATTCCATATTTTATTTTCCAAGATATTTTGGGTTTTCTAGGAATTTAAATATGTTTTTGGACTTTCCTGGATTTTTTTTGAACTTTTGGGGATTCGAAATCTTATTTTTTGGTATTTTAAAGTACTTACTATGGAATTTTCTGGATTCTTCTGGAACGTCTCGGAACTTTGGGTTCGGGGATTTGGGGGTTTTCCCAAAATGTTTAGGTATGTTTCGTGTTTTATTTTTCGATCGCCAAAAAAACTGTCCTGTTTTTTGATGACCCTATATTGGGTCCATATTTTCAAATTTTCGGTATTTTTTGGGACTCTTCTGTATAATTCGTGTTTTATTTCGCGTGATTTTTCAGAATATTTTTGAAAATTTTCGGGCACTTTAGTAGTTTTCTTAAGAATTATCTGTGAAGTTTTTCGGGATTTCTGGAAATATTTAATTGGTGCTTTATTTTCTGAAAAATTTCGAAATTTTCCCGGGTATTTAGGGATTTTTCAGGATTTTTTTTTTAGATTCCTCGTGTTTCATTTTCCCAGAACTTTTGGGATTTTTTTGTTGGGAATTTTGTTCCGAATTTTTTTCGGCACACTTCGCTTTTTTTTCGATTCACCAAAAGCTGTCCCGTTTTCAATGACCAAAAAATTATGTCCATATTTTAAACTTTTTTGGAGGTTTTGGAATTTTTCTGGACTTTACTGGCTTTTTGGAAACCTTTATCTCGAGTTTTATTTTTCGCACTATTTAGCCATTACTTCGGGGCCTTTCGTAATATTGTACACATTTTTTGGGACTTTTCCGAATATTTTTTGGGACTTTTGGGGATACTTAGTGTTTTATTTCTCGCCCTCACTATTGGGATTTTTTCGAAACCCTGCGGGAACGTTCAACTGTGAACATATATCTCAATCTCAGCCTTAAAATTCTTAATAAAATAAAATGTAACAAGTAAGAAAGTCTAAGTTCGGGCGGAGCCGAACATTAAATACCCGGCGCAAGTATTAAATATATGTTTTTTCACCCTTCCGAAACCTTCCGCTAGATGGTAAGCCGAGATGTATCAATTTTGAGTAAATTAGCGTCCTTCAATTTCGAAATATTGAAGTTTTAAGCAATTCTTAAATTTACCGTTATATGAGAATCGGCCGTTATTTTAGTCCGATTTCAATAATTTTCAACGTTTTGCTTACACGTGGCAAGTACAATAACCATACCGAGTTTGGTACAAATTGGTAGAACGGTTACCGGTATACTTATATGTGATCATAAGTGGGCGGTGCCACTCCCATTTTCCAAAATTTTACCATAAACGTATTTCTTGGTAAAGAATTGTTGCAAGCATCAATTTTGAATAAATTAGCTTCAATATTTAATGATTTATCGAAGATTTTGTATTTCTCTAAATTACCGTTATATGGGATGTGGGCGTGGTTATTGTCCGATTTTAAAAAGTTTCGGCGGTTTTTTATGCTGTACCAAGGCCAACAACTGTGCCAAGTTTGGAAGAAATTGGTGCAGCGGTTACCAAGATATACACATGTAACCATAAGTGGGCGTGGCTACGCCCATTTTCCAAAAATTTATAATATTCTTATTTTTTGTCTAAAACTTATTATAAATATCAATTTTGAGTGAATAATCTCTAGTAGTTCCTAAAATATTGCAGTTTTCGTATTTCTGAAAATTACCGTTATATGGGAAGTAGGCGTGTTATTGAGCGATTTTAAAAATTTTCGGCCATTTGGTATGTTATGCGAAGGCCAACAACTGTGCCAAGTTTGGAAGAAATTGGTACGGCGGTTACCAAGATATACACATGTAACCATAAGTGGGCGTGGCTACGCCCGTTTTCCAAAAATTTATAATATTCTTATTTTTCGTCTAAAAATTATTGTAAATATCAATTTTGAGTGAATTATCTTCAGTAGTTACTAAAATATCGCAGTTTTCGTATTTCTGGAAATTACCGTTATATGGGAAGTGGGTGTGGTTAAAGTCCGATTTCGCCCATTTTCAATACCAACCTACCTTGGCTTAAGGGAAACCTACATACCAAATTTCGTTGAGATATCTCAATTTTTGCTCGAGTTATCGTGTACACGGACAGACGGACAGACGGACAGACGGACGGACGGACGGACAGACAGACATGGCTTAATCGATTTCTTTTTTCATCCTGATCATTTATGTATACATTTGTCTATATCTATCTCGATTCGCTTTGGCTGTTACAAACAACCGTTATGTGAACAAAATTAATATACCCTTGTTTCCCGTTATTTCCTGCACAAAAAAAGCAAACGGTAGAATTTGCTCAAATTTTTATTAATATAATCGGTATTTCTTTTTTAAAATACTAAAAGTAAAAAGTTAACGACATAACGTTTGGTCTCTGAAATGTACAGTACGTGAGCTTCTGAAACTACCCTGCAGGAAATGGGGCTAGTTTGCAGCTAAATTTTAAATACTGGTTTTTTCTCTGCATTAGGTGTCAACGTTCGTGGGTAAGCGCGTCTGCGTGATTTTAAATAAAAAATAAATAAAGTTAATTTTTTCATAGCTAATTGAAAGTGAGGCATTTCCCGAAAACTTTTATCAATTGATAGTTTTTTCTGCGGGGTGTGGATGTATGTATGCATGCGTATAATGTATATAGTAGTGGTTTAGTGGTTTGAAAAATATCAAATCAACGTTATATGTATCTCATGGCTTTTATAACTTAATGACGCGTAGCTAATGACACAATATACAGCATTAGTGCATACATACATATGTATGTACATAAAAATAACAGTGTACGCACAAATTTGTCATCAGAACTCACTTTCAAACTCAATGCTGTTGCATTCCTTTCCACCGAAATTTGTGAATGCCAAAATTTTGTAATGAATTTTTGTAAACCGCTACTTTTGTTGTTGTTAATGTTTGCAGCGATTGAAGGCAGATTCGAAGATTTTGTAATCAAAAACCAAGTAAGTAGGGGGGTGAGCTCAGTGCATTCATATGTAAGTACTCACATAAATTAATATTTGTCTACTTCTAAGAATGATTTAAAACGATTTGGCGACTACAATGACATAAATGATGAAGATTATGAAATTGATGAAGATTCCGTGATCAATTTGGAACTACTACGCCAATTGTACAAGAATGAACCGGGTATTATGGACTTGCTTAGAGACGGTTCGCTAGAAGAAATACCCGCAGATTTTATGCAGAAATTACAGCAATACTATGCACAGGTGGAGCCTTGGAATTGCGAAAATGATGAAAATTCTCATGGTATGAATGTTTATGATATTTTGTGAGACTCAATAAATTGTGTGTGAAAATGCAGCAGCAATCAGGAATTTTTCATTTGGAACAGGCGGGCGGAAGAAATTAGCAATTAAGTAAGCAATGAAGTGTCATTCCAACTTGAATGATAGCAAATATGAAGTAGAGTTATCTTAATGAATGGAATATGCCTTTTTAAGCGCAACAAATCGCGCCAGGTTGTGAGCTAGTTTCTTTTATACTCCAATCGAAAAGAAGCATTCAAAGCTCAACAAAGCTATATGGGTCAATGAGATTCTTTATTTTTTCATTTCGAGCGCAGAGTTGTGAGTAATTCGAAATTTGTGTGTACTTTTATAATTTTCATATATTTACTTATCATGATTTTTGGTATTTAGCTGTAAAGTAAAAATGTAAATAAAACGGTAATCGATTTTCAACTATTCGACCCACATAAATTATGTGAATATTAGAGAGGGTATTAAAGGCACTAATTGACATTCTTTGTGAAAAACGTTTTTTTTTATAAATCCCGTAAGTTTGCTCTCAGATATACTTCTCTAACAAAATTCAAAGCCTTATTATTTAAATTGATTGACAGCTATAGAAAAGTCGGAAAACCATTTAATGCAGCTGGTAATTTAAAAAGTTGTTTACAGCTTTTGTTAAATTTCAAATTCGTCAGTTAGTATTATTATCATGGTCCAAAAAATGCAAAAATTGAGTTAAGTATGCAGATATTACCGCTACCTCTTCTTCTTCTATGTTGTGTAAAAATTTCACAGCTGTATCGATTACCAGTAGCTCACTAGAACAAAATATGTATTCATTTCAAAACTTCAAAGCCGTTTTTCACGAGTTTTGCTTTTTTGAGTTATGACACTATTGAAGTAAATGAGCGATATGGATGAAAAGCTAATTGATTTATTGTTTATGTAATTCTGAAAGTCCGAAAAAGAAAATATACGAAAGTTTCACATGCAATTTTATCTGAAGCGATTTTCGATTTAATATTTTCCTTCATCTCCAATATAACGGTTGTGATCTCAATAATAAAAGACACGATTTAAACGTTAAAAATGGATTTTTGTTTTTCTGATCACATTTAACAGTTATTTTATGATTTTTATTTTTTCGAAAAATTTTTAATTGTTTTTTAATGAAATTTGTTTCCGTTTAACCGTTACTCGTATTTTCAGCATTAATTTTTACATAATACAAGTTTTAAATCGGCCATAAAATTCAGTCTCCATTAAAACGGTTAAAAGTGAACGAACAAAATAAAATCCAAATTAAAGAAATTTTTTTTTTTATCGAGAAAAATAAGGATTAAATTTAACCGAAAAATTAAAATCCGAATATAACGATTATTCCTGATCGAAGAAAAATAAATATAAAAAAACTACGATTTTAAAGAAAAATCTTGGTATTTAACAGTTCTTTTTGGACCCTGCAGTTCATCGATGCCTCCCAGTCATTACTAAGCGAAATATTCAGTCAGTTTCTGATGGTGGCTTCCATGGTCGAAAATGGTAGTCCTAAAATTTTAATACCTATGATCTCCGCACGTGACTTATTGACCCCTCACTCTCTCTCTGCTGCCTTAATCCTAATTACCCGCTGATCGTGCATTGAACAAATCCAAATTACCAACACAAAATCTAAACCATGCCTTGGAGCCGAGTTGCACCCGAAAAGGTCGCCAACAAAAGCTCAGCACCTTCTTTGCGTACAATAAGCAAAGGCTAGCGGGCGATTTGAAGCCGTTAAAAGATTTAATATCACGTTTTACGGCATATGCCACGGTCCTGGAAACAAACCATTTGTATTTTGAAACTGTGCTTCTTACATTCTACCCATCTTCTAGGCAGCTTGCGAAATCTGCTCTCAAGAGACTACGTGTCAGCGAATGAAGAACTGACATAACTTTTGTGCTGCTCGACCAGGCCATGAGCCATCGTCCGGAACAAATGCAGTAGTAGTTGGTAGAAGCAATATCAGACGAGTTTAAAAAAATTTGGTTTGCCCCGCCTTGTATAGAACTAAAAAAAAAAATCAATTAGTTACGTTTCTATTTGAACTTTATTTTTCCCACTCTATTGACTGCCCATTAAATCATCGATAATATCACCCAGTGGCGCTGAAATCAAATCCAATGGATTCTCCTCGCAATCAGCCGCATAGTGTTCACAAAAGTCATGAGTTCCATCTAATTCGGCTTGATAGTAAGAAAGTGGAAGATTTTCATTAGCAGATGTGCTAGGACTGAAAATGTTAAATGGAAATGGTTATAACAGTACTTTGTTTTTTTTTTTTAAACAAAAATTACTTACGAAAAAAATATATGAACTAATGTGCCTAGAACGCCGTTGACCTCACCAAGGCCTGAAGAATTCGTTTCACAGATTAAACGTAGCAGGCAAGGCTCTCCGCTGTAGCCACTTCTGTAAAATTGGAAATGTTTAAGCAAAATGAATTAAGATTATTAAATTGTATGAAGTCATGTTTTTCTTTAAGTGAATCATAAAATTTCGGTTAAGTGGGTGTTATAAAATCCTAGGGTGGTGAGAGCATACAAATTCCGACTTTACTTTTTCACATGCATTTTCGGGCCACCCTAATATTCATACAAAACGTACAACAGAAGACATAAATCACAAACGCCCTTAATAAACTTATCCGTTGTGTCGCATCTAATACGGCTCATTTGATACGACGCGCAACAGTGGCTTACAATTATTAGTGACTATTTCGTGCGTTAATAATTATTAACTCCTTGGTACTTTAGTATTTAGCACCTTTTTAGTATTTGGCAGCTCCGCAATACTTCAAAATCTATCACATTTTCCCCGCCAGATAGAAAATCTTTTCTGCGTCACAGGGATGCTTTTCACTGACAAAACGTACAGAACATGACGGGACGGCTCAATTTCATTGGTGAAAAATCAGCTGGTTTGAATTCGTTTCATACATTTTTGTTGTTCTTGTTGTTTTGCCGCATATGCGTGCGTGAAAAGTTGAGAGTTGGGCGAATTTGATCAGTTGCGGCCAGGGGCGCACCCAGGAATATATTTTGGAAGGGGTTTATACTTCTGAAAATTCGCTTCAGATAATATGCTCTTTAAAATACATTTATGTAAGTTTTATGTACAGTATGTTATAAATTAATAAACTTTTTAAAGTTTCATAAATTGCACCTTATTTACATAAAATTAAAAAAAAAAAGAACAGTTTTAACCGGCTTCAAAAAAAGGCGGAGGTTACCAATTCGTCGGAATACGTTTTTTTTTTTAATATATGGTACCGCATAACTTTGGACTTCTGACAATCGCTATGCTAAATTTTCGTCGCCAAAATTCTCTAAATGAAAAGCAGTGGGCCTAAAAGTATACTGAATGGAAAAGTAATAACTGTAAAGTGTAATCAGCCAAATGTGGCAGTATGAGGGGCATGTAACCAGATGTTGCGTATTGTTAGGCGTACCTGCTATAATTTTGGAGATTTATGGCAATCAAAATTGGCGATAGCAAATGCTGGGATCCTGCTGCTGGTCCTCGATGGAGATGATTATTTTTTTACGATTGCCAAATTTTTTTTTTAATATTTCGAATTCCGAAAAAATTAACTGAACTTGTATTTTTATTATGTAGCTCATTTTGGTGGAACGAATTCGAAGTTGGCAAGTTGGAAATTGGTGGTTGAACCACAAAACCCACCCCTTGTGTGCGCTAATGGTTGCGGCAACGCATGCGTTGGCAATGTGGCATCTTCTATTCAAAATCACAGAGTTAACTTGGATGTCAGTCAAAGGCATCTCTCTGACGTAGAGAAGAATTTCTATCTGCCGCGGCCTTATATTCCTCTGTCAAGCGTTATACATGACACTTAAAAGCCTGATTATGGCCACTTAACTTAGCTTAACGGAACGTAGAACTTAGAGAAGAAGTTTCGGCTGTTCAACTATAAGCAACACCCATTTAACAGAATTCTTAAGAGTAAGCGGTAAGTTACGTTAAGTTGCCATAATCAGACCATAAGTCTTACGTGGATTTTTACATCAGAATCTCATTTTTGTGAAAGATAGATAAGAATAAGAAAGCTTTTAATTGTTTTACCTTTCAAATTTATCTCTGAGTATATGGTAGAAGTGGGTGCGCGTTAACAGCGAATTTACTGCACTTTTTCGTCTACGCCGACGCTGTGATTGTTCTTTATCATTGCTGGTTGCATTCACAGGTGGCATTGTTGTTGTTTTAGTGCAGTTACTACAACTATCATCTGACTGCGACATTTGGCGCGCAGCCTCAGATTGACTGAAAATGTCATCATCCTCAATACCAGTCTAAAAAAAAAAAAAACCTTTAATAGATGAAATTTTATATTTGGATACAGCAAAGAAACTTAAAAAAAAAAAAATCCGTTTAACATTTTTTTCAAGCTGTGTCACTAACCGCAATTGGTGGTATAGTGTAAGTGTAAGGTAAATTGTAGTTCGCTTCGAAATTGTATGAGATGAAAACATTCCGATGCGGCAACTCCAATGGCACTGCAATGGCGGCGAAAATCTGCGTTTAATAAAAATTTTTATTTTTTTATTAGAGTTCAAGCGCTGATGAACACCACTTACACCATAAGCTGAATTGGTGGGGAAAAATGCTGTGCCAACGCACAAGTTACAACAACATAACAAACTTATTATTCCTAAGCAGAAAATTGTAGTAATTCGCTGGAATAAAGCCATTTTAAAAATCTATGAACACTGTTTTTTTTACACTTTTCTCAAAAGCGCTTCGGCATGTATTCTCTGATAAATCAAACCATCAACTAATTTATTGTTTTTCATACTTCAACCGGAGAGCAATAAGCCACCACGCTTATATGCGAGTCGAAAAGTCGAAAGTTGCTACTAATTAGAAATGTCAACAAACTCAATGCACAGGCAGCAACAATGTATCGTATCGGCGGTGTTTTGGAAAAACCTCGTAACTCGAAAATCACTACTACTACCTCGTATCTCGTAAAATTAATTAAAATTGCGCCTTAAAATAATAAAATTCATTATATTTTATTCTAAATAAACTAAAAAGTTCTTTAAACTTAAATTTGGTTCAAAAATTAATTTAAAATTATATTTGTTATTAATAGCGAGTTTCTTTTTGTTTGAGATATGATGTTTTGCCAAAAGTGCCGCCGATATGTAGCGACTGTTCTCAATACTTTGGCTAAGTGGTTCGCAGCAGTGTTTGATGGAGATACATATGATTCTTGGAAACTGGTTTCAACCTGCCCAACGCAAACCAGTTACATACATATATCACCGTGCCACAAAAACCAAAAAATTTCGAAATACACGAAGCAACCAATATACTCGCGAAACTATACGCCAAATATAGTAAAACTGCGTTTTTTGTTTGTCTCTCTGGCGTCAGGATTTTTTTAAAAGGACTTTGCAGTTATGATGTAGTAGATATGATTAATTCCAAAAATTATTTAAAAAATTCAGTGCAATGTAGAATTACAATTCGGGCACCAAAGGAAAGAGAAAATTCTGTAGAACAATTTTTTCATTCACAAGGACGAAATTCTGGAATGTGGTCGAGTGTATATTAGTCCTTAAGTATAATTTTTCAAAAATATTTATAAATGTATTTCAAATTTTCAAGATTATTCAAGGATAAAATTTTAAAAGGAACTAATCATATTTTTCAAATTTCAGTTCTTTAAAAAAAATCCTGACGTCAGAGTGGCCCATGGTTTCCTGTTAAATTGACTGTCCACGGTGTATTTTCCCCATTTTTGTTACATTTAGTTATGATTGCCATGAATGTTGATTACCAGCATCACTTTGCATTGAATTCATAATTACCCCTTTTTATCCATATAAAAATTTATGTGGTTATGTATTTTTAATATGGGTGATTCCAACGAAAAGTCTACCGCGTAAAAAAAATTAAAAGTTAGGCACCCTGAAATTGTGCATATGGAAACTGTGCATACGAAATAATGCATACGAAAAAAACCCGAAATAATGCATAAATACACAGTTTCGGTTCAAAACCGGATGCATATGAGAAAATAACGAAATTATGCATACATGCACGGTTTCGACTCAAACCCGAATTAATGCATATATGCACAGTTAATTAATTGCATTCATTTTCAAACGCATTAATGTACACTTCGTCGTTAAAATGCGAACATATCGTGCCTAAATATTTTAAATGATTCTTTAAATAAAATTAAAAAAATGAACAGGCACGTAATTACACACATTGATTGTTCGCAAAATAATTCAAAAAAACAACGCCAGTTTTCAAAAATCGCAATTGTTAAATGAAAAAAGAATAACATAAAAGTACGGCGGCAAAAAGAATTTGAAATCAACGGGCATTTTTAGGTGCACATTGTTGGTTAAACTGAAACTCAATGGGTTAAAAAGCCGTAGACCCAAAAATGTTCTAAAAATTCAGAGAAAAAAGTTCGAATTTTTGGCGCAAATTTGTTGAATTCTAAATGTGGTACATATTAGCTCTGATCCAATACTTTTCGTGTAAAATCCTGTAAAAATGTCAAACAGCAAAATTACTCTCTGAAGCGAGAGTAAAAAGTGAGTAACAACAAAAAGTACGGTAACAAAAAAGCATTTTTCCTGTAAAAACGTCAACCAATGATCGCTTGACACTTTTCATGATTTTACCAGAAGAAACAGTTCGGGTAAAATCTTGCAACTTCATTCTCTACACAACTCTTCAAAAATCGTTCTCATTTCCAGCATTTTAGAGGAATTTGGACTACGGGATCATTTTTCCTGTAACTTCCGTTAAGTTCGTGTAAAAACCTGTAAGTTCATGGAGTACTGGATCAGAGCTTTAATGATCTTTAGCTGAATATTAAAAAATTACCAATCAGCTTTTTGAGCCACTGTATTTGTTTATAATAACTCCAGTTGTAGTTTTTTTCAAATGATGAAGTTTCGTTGTGACCTTTAGTATCATCATTTTCGCTTTTAATTGAATTAAACCGAAAATAAATGGCTAAATAAAAAGTTACTTAATACAAAATTTTTAGCAAATAACTAAAAAAACGAACAAATCTAGAGTTTTTATTAAAACAACTCAAAAATTTATTGGTAGATATTTTTCAGATTTGGTAGTTTGTTTTTTCAAACGGATGGTAAGTATTTATTTTCGTCAGTGGCAACCCTGGTTGCAACTCGAACTTACGCATATTTATTAAAAGAACCAAATTATGTACATACAAACATATACTTGGAAAATTAACCTTGAACATTTCCAATATTACTACAAAAACTTTTATATAAATAGTCTTGACCAATTCGCAGAGTTTTGAAATTTTGTAATCGAAGTCAAAATCCACTTCATTTTTTTTTGTAAGGTCACGCCAGCTCGTAAGTTTACTAATATCTTTAAATTGCTACTAGCAACAGTTGTATTTTTTTATTGAATAATGGACCATTTAATTGCTATGCAAATCTAGAAAAACTTTTTAAAATTTTGTCTTTTCAAATCTTTTTTTAACACTTTGTCATACGAGCGTAATGTAACTCCAGTTTGGAAATACCCATATCCATTCGAAAATTCGTATATACGTATAAAATCCGTATATCCGGTTCACATTCGTTCATTTTGTTGTCGGAAAATTCGAATTGTCGGATGTTCAGAGAATCCGGATAGAACTCTCAGCCCTAATATGTTTTTGAAGAATATGTACATTCGTTTTCTACCTTAGTTCTCTTCGGCTTACTATTTGCAAGTTCAGAATAATTAAGATCATTAGTTAATAACATACTTCACTTTAAATAAAATGATAGTTATAATTTTTTAACCGTGGATTCGTTAAAAACGATTATAGCGTCATCTGTGGATCAGTGGCACAGTTCTTGTTCTTTTACATATATACATATGTATATATTTCAGACCGTGGTGCCACCTTACATTTTTGATTTTCATGTTTTGAGAAACTAGTAAGCCAAGTCGCGAACTTCGGCGACTTCTAACATTTATTGCCTAAATGTATGCTACAGGCATTTAAAAAGGTACATCACAACCCAATAAACATTTTTGCTAAATCTCAATTTGAGAATCGGTCCAATTGAGAAATGTTGTATTCTCAAGGTACATTGGAACAGGTAGTATCAGTAGAGCAGCTGATTTGATTTATTTTCAAATTATTTGGTCTCGAAAATGTCAAATATTTTTAATTTTTTCTCACAAAAATTCTGAATTGTTAAAATCCATTTGCATGTGAAACCTTTTCCCATACAACTCGGCAGCACGACCGCTGATTACTGGGCCTTGCAAAGGATGGATCAATGCTTCGAGAAGCAAACAAATTTACTAGGAAAAAAAGTTGCATCAATTTTTATTTTTTCCAATTTCATTTTTTTATTTTTTATAATTTTTTGTATTTCACATGGCACGCTTTGATTTAGAAGAAAAAATTCAGAACAGTTTTTGACACTTTCGATACCAGAAGCAACAACAAAATACACGCAAATATTGTTTTTGCTCTACTGATACTACCTGTTTAATGTGCCTTGTGTATTCTCAACTTTATCTCAAACGCGAGTGGAGCGGAACGAAATGAAATCCAGTTACTCTCTTTGAAATATTTGTATAGTGTTACCAATGATACATGTAAGAGAAACACAGTTTTTTTATAGGAAATGAATTTTTATTTATGCAGTTTAACAGTTTTTTTAATAGCTTATTTATTCAGTTAGTTTAGCAAAGAAAAATACGGTTGATGTAAAAAATTAGTTGCATAGTTTGTTTTGAAATTTGTAAAATTGCGAATAACAGAGCCATTTTGCGACTGATGTAGCAGACTACCGATGGACTTGGACATCTGTGGCATGTTGACACAGATGGAACGGAACGGAATGCTAACAATTTTTTTCTCAAATGTTTCTCAAATCGTTCTTAAATTGATACACAGGCTGCATTTCTTTATTCATTCTGAACGTTTGGAATAAACTTTTTTGTTTACTTATTCTTTAGAACGTTCCTGATGATATGTCAACGTATATTTCAAACGCATTCTGTTTATTCCGGCTGTGAAATGGGATTATCCGGAATGTATAAAGAAACGCAGCCACAATGTTAGAGAAAAATTTTCAAACGTTTGGGAAAATCGTATTGCTCAATTGGATTTTCAGCATTGTTTATCATTTGAAACTAAACATTTTCTCAAATTTTTCTCAAACATTGTTTGTGTTATTTCTGTTAGCATTATTGTACTCCTCATGAGCCTTATACGTGACATCATGTATTTAAGCCTGCTCCATTTGTGACGAAGTTAAGCCAAGCGGTTTCCAATACCTTTAAAGCAGCTTGGCTATCACAGCAGACCTTTGTTTTAATGTCCGCACATAATCTTCGTGGCCAGAGTTATGCTTAGATATTTCACTTCCATAGAAAAGCTTAGGTTTAAGCCTCTAAGCACTCGACCTTCAAATTTTCTTTTCCACATAACCATTTTTTTTTGTAGGAACCAGGCAGGCAAAATACATGAAATCCATAAAGAGGTATTCATAAGAGAAATTTGTTAAGCGTACGTATGTACGTATATAAATATATGCAACCAACCAGCTCTTCACTTTGAAGAGCTTAGCGGGTACTCTGCTTACAAAGGACCTTTTTGTTTTATTGCCGTGTTAACCTCATCTTGATCTAGTGGATTTACGTAAACTTCGTATTTTGAAAGGCGTTGAAAAATGTGGCTTTAAATCGAGAGCACATTAAAATATTTAATTGGCCTTTTCCCTGTTTTTTTATTATTTCAACTTTATTTTTTTCCTCTATTTACTACTCATAAAATCATCGATAATATCACCCAATCGCGCTGAAATCAAATGCAACGGATTCTCTTCGCATTCAGCCGCATAGTGTTCACAAAAGCCATGAGCACCGTCCACTTCGGCTTGATAGTAGGAAAGTGGCAGATTTTCGTACTCAGATGTGCTTGGACTGAAAATGATAAATGAAAGTGCTTTTAGTAGCAGCTAAATTGGGTTGTTGAAACAAAGTTTACTTACGAAAAAAGTATATGAACTAATGTGCCCAGTATACCGTTGACTTCACCTAGACTTGAGAAGTTTGTCTCGCAAATTAAACTTAGTAGGCAGGGTTCTCCGTTGTAGCCGCTTCTGAAAAATGGAAAATATTTAAGTAAAGTAATATAATAGGAGTATTCACACAATAAATAACATTACAGGTATTCACCAAATTGAGCAAGTGGCCTAACAACGACTGTTTTGCCAGAGTGCCAGGCCACTTGCTCAATTTGGTGAATACCTATAATGTTATTCATTACGTATGTAAATCGTATTTTTAGCCACATCATAAATAAGCAAACATTTTTTTTATGTTAAAAGAAAACTATTTTTAGTGAAACAGCTTAATCTACAAGCCTATGCATGTATGTATGTATGTACAAACAAACACATTGAACAGAAGATTTAAGCGACAAACTCGCTATAGAAAGTTCTTCGTAGCGCAGGCGAACTCATTTTTAACCGACTTAAAAAAAAGGAGGAGGTTATGAATTCGCCAGAATATTTTTTTTTTGTTTAACTTTGAAGCACGTTAACCGATTTCTATAACTATTTTTCTTTTCTTTTTAAGGAAAGGTTTGGTTAGAATTGAAGTCCGTTTTGTTTTTTGCTTAAAAATTTACTTGTTATTATTAACTCTTTTCCTTACTATGTACGTAGGTGCAGACTAGCATTTGGAGTTAGGAATAAAAAGCCCATAGAAGTGCTAGCCTAGTTTAAAAGCCTTCAGGTATGGGGTGAATAGTCATGACCAATAGACGACACAAGAGGCCGCGGAGTACATATTTGGCACATAATAATGTTAAAAAATTTGTTTGTGAAGAAACCAAAATGATAAATAGGGCATTTCTACTTATACTAAGGCAAAGATAGTACTTATAATACATATATTTGCTGCGAGCATGCAGCATTTGCGTGCGTTAATAATTAGAGTGTTTACAGTACATAAGTAAATATGCTTATATGTACATACATACATATATTAAAAATACCAAAAACCTAATTGATCATAATGCGGGCCAATGTTCATCGTCGAAATTCACAGAGAAAGTGTGAACTGAGAAATTTACACTAATCTTTTTTAAGCAAAAAACTACTAATATACAAAGATTTTCTGAGGTACCACCTTTCCTTTAAAACAAGCATTATAGAAATTGGTTTACGTGGTTCAAATTTATGCGGAACATACATAAAAAAATATTCCGACGAATTGATAACATCCTCCTTATTTTAAGTCGGTTAAAAATACTTCCATTTCTAGCCTACTTACTTTTTCAATAGATCTCCGAGTATATGGTAGACGCGTGTGCGCGTTAGCAAGGAATTTATTGTACTCTTTCCCCTATGCTGATGCTGTGATTCTGCGCTCCCATTGTCGGTGGCATTCACCTTTGGCTTTGTTGTTGTTTTTGTAACATTAGTGGTTGTTGGCGCTTTTACAGTTGTTGTTGTGGTTGGATCCGTGCAGTTAGCACAACTAGCAACTGACTGTGGCATTTGGCGCGCAGCCTCAGGCAGATTGAAAATGTCATCATCTTCAATACCAGTCTGAAAAGAGGTTTTACTCACAAAATTATATGTTTAAACAACCAACACATTGGGTACTACTAACCGCAATCGGTGGTATACCCCATGTATCGGGTAAATTATAGTTCGCTTCAAAATTATATGACAAAAAGACATTACGATGCGGTAATTCCAATGGCACTGCAATGGCGAAAATAAGCTATATTTATAAAAAAAAAGTTACTTGGTGAGCATTCAACAAACGCGAGTAATATACATATCTAATCATAAATAGCTTCTGATACTTACACCAAGTACGGTATTGGTGGGAAAAAATAGAGTGCCAACACACAAGTTACAACAATATAACAAACTTAATATTATTAAGCACAAAGCTGTAATTCGCTGGAATAAAGCCATATCAAAAATCTATGACTCGTTTTTTCGTTTTCTTTTTTTTTTTAAATAACTAAAGAGCGCTTTCGCGTCTATTCACTTATAAATCAAAACTTCAACTAAATCTATCCTTCGACAAACTGTTTGGACCGCTATACGTACGGAATTACTGCTTGAGAATAAATACTTATATTTACTTTTTCATTCTTCAATTTGGAAGCAGCAAGACGCGTTAGTGTGCTTCTAATTATAAATGTCAACAAACTCAATTTAATAGAGGCACGATTCTTAGAAAATTATTTCAACCTTCCCAATGCAAAGCAATGAATTTTCTCCATACTTTGAATTATCAATCAAAGTTCAATATTAACAGCACTCAGCATTTCACTTGCAACTTTAGCCTTAGGGTTTTATCGAATCCAAATGTATGTCGGGTTGTTGGAAAGATGAAGAATATTGGGGCGTTTTCTTGTTTAACATAGAACATCCAAAGGTTAATCAAGTCAACCCAGTAACTCAATATTGGTAAATTTGCACATTCATGCTTCTATGACGATATGTATGTATTTTTAATGTAGTTTTTAATTCTAATTATCTTTTATTTTATATCAATGTTAACGAACTATTTAGAACATAATATTCTTTTCATTTTTGTGTAATTAACACAGGTTTACAAAAAAAAAATCAGGTTTATTCAATGAATTTTTCCCTACTTGGCCTTCAATTGATCACGAACCTGACGTGATGAAGGCTAAGGGAACTCGGATTAGCATTCAGCATGCCGAACAACATACGGATATATAAGTTTGTAAACCTTTGTAATAATAGAACGAACAGAAAATTATGTTTGTATTAAATAACTGAACTGATAACTTATAAATTGTTTGAATAGGTGAAAGTAAACTATTTTAATGAGCTTTTAGCATTTATAATTATGTATATGTAGCGAGACTGCGTTGATTTTTAGGTATAGTTGACATTATTGCTGCTTTGTCGTTGCATACTGGTAACAACCAAAGCTGGCGCATGCAAATGAACTAACGGTTGCTACCTATGCTGGCGCATTTTGCGGTCCTGCCATGTAACAAATTTTGCATTTGCCGCCTGCAATAAACGATTCAAATGCTGCGTCAACGATGCACCCAATGGTGATAATTCATGCAATGCGCGACTCTGAAAAAAATTAAACAACATAAAAAAAGTAGATAAATAAAATTATAAATTCGGCGATCATATGAGATCCAAGCAAATACCTCGAACGGCACAAGTTTGGCCATTTTGAAACGTTGGAGAGCCTCGTGCATGCGTACAGCCTTTTCCTCGGCTTCTGCGGTTGTTGGTGGGAAGCTATTCCAGAAATGTTTCAACAATTCTGACAATGATAAATATAGATTACGCAAGTCCTTTTCGAAGTCAGGTGGCACTAACTCTATATAGTACAAGCAAAAGTAAAATAGAAGAACTTAATTCAAGTAAGCCATATTTATTCAATTAGCACTTACGTCCAGCTGATTGGTCATGGAAGCCACGCATAAGCGCACCACCCGGACTCAGCTCGCCGAGCGCATTTACCGCTGCCGTTGAGCTAACCAAAACTTTATGCGGTGCACGCTGTGTCCAAGTTTCTGTGGCACGCATTAAATGATACTGCACTTCTTCCATGCGTCGCGGATCCTCTTGCATATCATAGCCAGTAATTGGCACTGGACCGTGTAAATAACGTTCCTCTTTTGCTAGTGACAGCTGTTGTGATTTCTTAGGTTTTTTATTGGCATCATTAGCATCAGCTGATTCTATTAGTGGATCACCAAGATCTTCAAAGTGTATTTTTTCCATAATACGTTGGCGTTTTGTTGGTCTAAGTGGACTTCCAGCGACAGCATTGGCTGCGACATGATTATCAGCATCAGTACCTTTGCCATCCTTTGAATGTTTTGATTTTTCAGTACCACCATTTGCAGTAGCATGCTCTGTGCTTTTTGCATCTTTAATTTTAGCAGGTCCATTGGCAGTTGAAGTAGAACTGCCAGCTACATCTGTGCAAGTTTTAAGCACCATTATTGAGTGCTGATTAAATCGCTTTATCATATTCTGGTGCACAATGTTGCCACTATTCGCTATATTGCGATTTCCATTAACACTGCCGAAACCTTCTTCTAGCGGCACATCTTCAAACTGTTTAAGATCGAGCAGTGGATCTCCGGCACCTTGTTGTACTGCAGCTTTTAACGTTTGATCATCAATTTTCCCGCATTCCGTAAATATGTCTTTAGAGCCCGCTGTAATACGATCACGATGAAAATAATGCGACTGGAAAAACTTTGTCCAAAATTCCGCCTCCGACAATTTGGCTGGTACATTTTCTTGGTGCTTTCGCTTTACAGCGGGATAGGTCTTAAAAATACATAAGATTATGTCGGGTGTTAAATTATATTTCAGGCCGTTGCAACCATCCGTTTGTGGTTTGATATCAGCAAGAAAGGCACCAGATACACCTAATAATAAGTATGTGTTGTTGAAATCAAAAATGTTATACCAGCCATAAATGAATTTGATACTTACCAATATCTTGCTTTTTGTTAACATTTTTCATGGCATGATCCTTGGCGTGTGTGGCCCAGAATTCTTCACTGGTGAGTACTTGTGTTATTACTAAATCCTTATAAAGTTGCAAAAGATTTGGATTTTCCGAAAGTATACGATTTTTCTCTTCCAATTCCTTATCCACTTTTCGTTTAAAGTTTGGCAACAGCTGCTGCAGCAGTTCTTTCACCTTATCACGGTCAGCCAGCATCGCCTGCTGGCCATTACGGTTGACGAAATGGAATGTGGAACTGTTACCGTCATGCAATACGACCTGAAGTTGCACCTTAGGCTTGCCTTCAGGTGATATTTTCTGCACTTTTAAGAAAAATACATTCAATCAGATATTTACTAGCTTTGCTGGACAATCTAATGAAGTATTTACTTTTGATATCGGCAAAGCGATGCGACACTGCAACAGTATCGCGGTTCTCTGCCATCCAAGCAAGACGCTCGTTCATTACATAGAGGGTACCGTCGCCCTTTTTGTAACGCACTTCACCCATTTGCAATAGCACGTCCTCACTGCTAGTCGTCATGCTATCAGCTTTTTACAATACCGTCGATCTTGAATTTCGATTTTCCCCCGCACCCAAAGATGAATACAGACCAATTAGGATGTATCAGAAATAAGGAAGCTGTATTTGGTTGGCTATCATAAAGGAAAGTTTAAAAACATATTATGTCCATACACATATATAAAATCATTTCATAATATTGCGACAGTCAGGTGCTCCATGGTTCTGGTCATTGTACTTTGCAATCATATTTACATATTCAGCACCGTTTTCTCTTAAACCCATTCATTTTCATGGACGGTATATGTTCCAGTACCACTTCCATTACGAAATGATTCTATTAATTGTTTACTAAATACTGAATTATTAATTTTTTGCACAAAGCAAATACCAACCAACCTTTCCTGGCCCCACCGTCGCCATTTGCAAATTTCCGTAGCGCTACGAGCTGTCATCGCGCTGTCAAACCGTCCACCAACAACTGCACTGAAAAATAAGAATAGGGTTCCCTTGCGCACCCTCTACGGAGTAGCTAGCGGAGTATCTGAAACCAAAAAAGGAACTAAATTTGTTATGAAGGGATACTTGAACAATAAAACTTTGATTTGAATTGTACAAATATCTGCACGGAGATGAGGTAATACAAATCATTTCCAGTTTTATATATATTTCTAGGTATATAATGGCATGCGTCTTCGGGGTTAACGCAATCACCTGAGAATTGTCAGGCACAGTTTGATGTGTAGGTGCACCCTAGCTTGAAAATGCACTTTCATACAACACTGTGTAGTGCTGCCGTACGTCTTTAAAACATTTGACACTTACAAGGCGACTACACTTTCAGTATTTCTTATTCAATGCATTTCCGCTGACAAACAGAAAATATTTTGGGCCGGATAATAGGTAAAATAAACACTCAGTAAGTCTATGCATCACGAGTAAGAGGAATATTTCCAACTTGCTCGTGGTGTGACCTGATTTTTCGGGAAATGGTATAAGATTATAAGAATTTTGCATCACATTTAAAGAAATACGTGTAATTAATGTATTCTCCTGATAAGAAAAATTTAAATATTAAAGCGTTAGGGCCAATTTCAAATGAATATTTAAATGGCACTTAAATTTAATTGTGGATTGTTTGGGGTATTCACAACGGTGTCGTAAGTGTCGTATTGTTGTATGTCGTCAACTTTAAACGCTTAAAAAATATATATGGGAGTTCGCAAGGTACCATCAATGTCATATTATGAATTTTCGCAGTGCTAAATAGTTGGTTGTTGTTTCAGATTTTCTAAACATTTATTTAAGCTTTTAAAGTTTACGACATACAACAATACGACACATACGACACCGTTGTGAATACCTCAGTTGTTTAAATGCCATTTAACTTTCGTTGGTTTTCAGATCAACTTTATTTATATATGCCAAACAATTGGCAGCACTGCTGCTTGTTCCTTGAAATTGTTGTTGCATTTGCATGTTTGTTTACATTTTGTGTTGAACAGCTGATTGTTTTTTTGTGGGATTGGTTAAACAACCTACCAATCAATCTTGGTTGTTTGGTACAAACACACGGTTGCATATCTTATATTTAAATAA